AGGAAATTAATAGAGGTCTATGATGGAAACCAGTCCTACTGTTTATTACAGAACAACAGATAAAATGTTCTTACTGTTATATATTGCATTCTAACAGTTTTCCCTAGTTAACCTAACTTTTTTTTCTCCAATATGTTTCCCTATCTGAATGGCTTTCTTATTGAATGTTAAGCGTACAGAAGAGTGGGGTTTTTGTTTTTTTGTTGTTGCTGCTGCTTATGGCCTGGACTTTGAGTTTGCCTTTATAAAAATTTTTTATCCATCTGATTTTAATATATGTTGGTTTGTTCCTCTCATCAACATCAGTATCATCATGTGACCTGCCGACTTGCGTAGGCATTCATGCATCTCCGCAGATCTTGGTCTCTTGTCTTCTGGATCACTTCCACCAATGATATTCCTCCATGCCACTGTTGCAGTCCATCCATTATCATCTCTCTCTTTCTGCCTCTTCCTGTTCTACTGTTGATTCTCTCCAACAAGCACATCATAGGTGTCAACTAATTGGGAGCTTCCTTTGAAGTTGGTGTACATCTGCCTGAGAGGCAAGGAACTAACAGTCTGCATGCAGATCAGTCAGACCTGTGAAATGAATGTGCACGCAGCACTCAATTTCTGAAACAGAACTAGAGTCCAGATCAACGAAAACTTTCTGCCGCAGTTTGCAGCCAGTAAATGTGAAGAAGAAGAAGAAGACTGCTATCTTTGAGAATATTACATGACGAGCTCGAATCTTTTCCACAGTGCGCTGTCATACCAGTGTCATCCCCATGTGGGTTTCGGGGCCCCATTTCTTTTTTGAGGAGGGTGGGGGGGTCATACAAGGTTTACTAATTAGGGGTATTTCCTTCAAAGTTGGCATGCGCCAGCCTGAGAGGTGAGGAACCAACAGTCTACATACAGATAAGCTAGATCTGTAAAAAGGATGTGCACGAAAAACTCAAGTTCTTGTACAAGACTTTTCCTGTGGGTTCCGGGGCCCCATATTAGTTGGAAAAAGAATATATCTATTGCCTCCCTAACCAGCATGTCATAAGAGTCTTTTAATTAAGGGTTTTCTTTGAAGCTGTGGTGCATCCGCCTAAGAGGCAAGAAACCAACAGTGTGCATACAGATAGGTAAAACTCAAGTTCTGGAACAAGACTAAAGTTCAGAAGGGGACGAACAACCTGAACCTTCCACTGGAGCTTACAGCTTGTGAATGCTAAGAAAAAGAAACAAGACTGAAGTCAAAATATTGAGGTATAGCCATAACTTACTGCCAGAGTTTACAGTCAGTGAATGCAAAGAAGAAAGAGAAGAAGACAACTACCATAAAGCCGTAACAATTAAATAGCAAATAATATATATAGTACTGGACTTCAGTTACAGAATGAAATACAAACTAGTTGTCTTGTGGCTAATTTGGTGTTCGAAACCGAGCGGTTGCCGGGGTTCACCCAGCCTCTAGAAAATGGGTACCAGAGTTAACACTCTGGGGTAAATTGAGGAACAATGCTGTAGCTAGGAAGTTTCATGCGGATGGCAACACAGGCGGACAGTTTCTTATCAGCTGTTCGTACTGGTGACAGAGCACTTTTGGTTTATAACCATGTGCAGTGACGCTGGTTCACATCTCCCGACTTTACTTTGGGGCTAATTGTTTCAAGCTTAAATCATTCATACATTGTAACAGAGGATTCATTAGTGATTAAGAATGTAGCTATTATAATTGAGAGAGCCACAGCGGCTAGATGCTCACCTGCAGATCCAAAGTTCATGGGTTTAAACCTGTCGTATCGTATCGTATAAAATCAAACAAAAATTCCAAGCTTAGTCTTTTTTTAGCCGCCTGATGGCCTGCTTTATCAAGGACGGTTCCTTTGCTCTTTTTTTATTTATCTTCCTTTGTGGTGAGCAATTACACCTGAATTTGTTCATTTGTTGCCTAAGTTCTGGTTTTTATGGGTCCTGGTTCCTTTGTTAATTGGCTATCCGCTAGCTGTTGCACTGTTCATCTGTGTTAGTACCAAGTCAGTCCTCAGCCACACCACCGCGAAACAAACAGTCCCGCACACTGAGCGACCCAAAACAAGGCTCCCAACAGGACGACTGTCACAATCTACTTGTTGTGCGCAGCCGTTTTTTTTTTTTTTTTAAATATGTAGAGGAGGTAATAAAGATTTGCCAAAAAATTAGAACGCCCGAAGGTGCCAAGATATTTTATAGTTAGGTCGGAAGATGGAGAGAGACAGATAGCTTGCTAGGTTAAGAAAGAGGTTTCTGGTGTGTTGAGCTCTGCGCTTTTAATCATATGTGGGGAGGGGCGGGGGAGGTTGAAAGAGAAGCGTAATAGACTGGAATCCACAAGTGCTGGTCCCCTTACTGTGCTATGCCCTTTTAGCTGGTTTGCCTCAGAGCGTCGGGTGGCCTTTGGTGGGTTCTGTCATTTTAATCTTTCTGAAAATACACTTAGATTTACGTTAGTTCTTTTGTTTTAGTCTGAGTAATTCGCCTGTGGTAGAGAAGGAGTGGAGATAGTAAAGGTAGAATAGCAGGAATGCTTTTCAGAGGACATACAGTGAGGTCTTAAGAGTGAGTGAGAGGGATAGTTGGCTCTGTTGAGGTTGCTGGTACTCGCTGGATCTGGTCAGTCACATCATGATGAGGGGTGGCTCTCAGATCGCTTTCCCGGTTCTGGATATGAACTGCTTCACGAGTCGCTGGACCTTGTCGTCACAGCTTACACTGAGGCAGTTTTCAATTGTCATTGGTTGGTTTGTGGCTCTGAAGTGCAGCACGAGCTCTTGTCTCTCTATTTCGTGGTGTTTACAGGTTAGTAAGAAGTGCTCCATGGAGTTAGGGGCCCTGCATTCCTAGCACACAGGAGTGCGGAATCGGTCTGGCCAGCACCCTAGTTGCATCTTCCACAGTTTAAGAATGGTCGGAATTTTGGCCGGTTTAGTCACTTGATTTTTGGGACTGGGTTTGTTGAGTAGTTTGTAGGCAGCTCTGCCTTTGTCGCTGGTCGACCACTGCTGGGACCATTCTCTGCATATTTTGCTTTTGATTATTGCTTTCAGTTCAGTTTTGCCCAGTCCCGCGAATACTGTGTTGTGGCTAGAAGTGCCCTTTTTCGCCGCTCTGTCTGCTGCTTCTTTGCCTTCAATGCCTATGTGTGCTGGGATCCAACCAATGGTAATTTGGCATCCCAGGCTTCTGAGTCTGGTGGAGGTTGTCAGAATTTCTTCTTTGATGTCTTGTCGACTCACTTTTGAAAAGTCTTTCAGGGCTTGTACTGCTGATAGTGAGTCGGAAAGGACGAGGAGTTTTATGGGGGGCCGTTCGCAGGCTAGCTCCAGTGCTTTAAGAATCCCTACCAGCTCAGCTGAGCAGACTGCCATATCGTTAGTGAGTCTGTACTCGTGTGTTGACTTCCAGGCCGGTATGTAAACTCCAGCCCCGTGCTGGTTTTCGAACCATCTGTGTATATGATCATTGTGTCTATTTCTGCATCGCGGATGTACTGGTCGACTCTCTTGGTTTCTGTCTATCAAGTGAGCAAGGCTTTCGTCGGTGTATGGCTCCCAGGTGGGGATGGTCGGGTGGTATTTCTTACCGCTGGTGGTGGTTGTGTCAATTTCGGATGCCGTTTTCCAGGCGGCCGGTCTCTGGAATGTTTGTATTGGGATGCTGACCTTTGACCAGGGGTATTCGTTGACAGCAAGTGCCTGGATGGTGGGGTGGTGTGGATCAAGTGCCGCTTGGGACCAGTAGCCGTGTCTAAGCTGTTTTCTGCGTAGTTTCAGTGGTATGACGCCCAAGGCTACTTCCATGGCTTCTTGACTAGTTCCTTTCCCTGCCCCCAGGATGATTATCATCGCCTGGTTCTGAATTGTGTTTAAAGTGTCTTTTTTGGCATCAGAAGCAGCATCATATACGATCGAACCGTATTCAATTTTGCTTCGAATGAATGCCTTGTAGAAATGCAATAGTGTCTTTGTGTGTGCACCCCAGCCGGATCCTTTGATTATTCTTAGCAGGTTGTTATTGCTCTTACATCTTGCGACAGTTTGTTCGATGTGTCGACTCCAGCTCATTTGGGAGTTGAGCAACATTCCTAGAAATGTCGTTTGTGTCTTTCTCTGAATTCTTTGACCGTCTATTACAATGCGGTTGTCAAAGTCTTCGTACGTCCATACCCTTTTCCAGTTAAAAATCATCTGGGTGGTCTTGATTGGGTTAATACGAAATCCCCACTTCTCCATCCACCTTGTTAAGTTGTTGGTTGCCCTCTGTAGCTGGTTTCTGGCTAGCTCTAGGTTGGAATCTGAGCACCAGATGGCGCAGTCGTCGGCGTACTGTGATAACTTGACGTTTTTTTCCCCTATGGACTCCACCAGATCATTTACGAGGATGGAGAAGGGGAAATAACCGATCCTTGGGGAGTTCCGTTTTCTTGCGAGTGGGTTGCCGATTTTTCGTTTCGTACTATTACTGAGTAGGTTTGGTCTTGGAGGAAACTCTTGATGTAGTTGAGCGTTTTCCCCACAGTTCCTACTACACTCAGTTTCTTGATGGCGGCTTCCCTCCAGCAAGTGTCGAAGGCACTGGTTTAAATCTGAATGGAGCCGATCTTTTTAAAGAAAAAATGATTTTTTGCTCCCAGGTCAACCCGGCTTCAAATGGGTATCAGGAAAAGTCCTGGGAAGGGAAGGTGACTGGCATGATGTTGACAACATCACCTACTGAATGTTGATTGGTCTATAAGATACACCCAATATGCCAGAAGGCATAAAATAAGGACCTTTACATTACTCTACTATTATAATTGAAGAAACAAAACAATAAAAAGAAATGTCATAGCTGTATTTTAATTGTGTTTAATAAATTGTCTCTGATGTTTTCAGATATTTTGAGAAACAGTGAATTCATTCATGATTAACAATTATAAAAATTATAGAAACAAAACAAATTTCAGTGTTTATATCTTTATGCTGTTTAATACATTACTTTTTCAGTTTGTTTGATAATAGTGGTGAGAGATATTTTAAGCTGAGGAAAAGTGTTCAGAGCTTTGCCTTGTCACAGTTGGGTGAGTCAAGTGTATCTTTGTTCTCAGTATGTTCCTGTGTAATTAAGGTAACCCATAGTCACCGCTAAGAAGGAAAGCAGTGGGAAAGTACATTCTTAAAAGATGCCTAGATAAGTGAAGCTGTCAAAGGTTCAAGAAGCAACAACATCTTCTTGAATCGGCAGGTCCTCTACAGAATGTTGCTCTTGCTATGGCATGACCGAAAGTCTCTCTTTTTCTAGCCAGTTCTCCAGCTCTGTGCTTTCGTGGTCAATGCATCTTCAGTGTCTTTTATTTTCATTCACAGAGGTCTGCCTCTGCCGCATTTTTCTGGGAACTGTACCCTCTATCACCGCTCTCTACAAGCTACCTTGATGTTTGACGTGGCTAAAATACCTCAGCATTTGGCACGAAATTCAGTTTTTGAGCCAGATCATGCAGGATGTTGGCGTTTTTCTTATTCTAAGTCCATTTTATTCTTGGAATCTTTCTGTAGCATTTATTTTACAAACTCCAACTTTTCCTCTCAATGATTGAGTGACTGCATGGCTCACATCCATAAGTTGCCATGGGAAAGATGCATGATCTCAAAACTGTTACTTTAACTCACTTGTAGGTGTTATGCCATATGTTCTTCATGCTGTTTAGTCTCTGCATTGATGAAGTGGGATGCAACATACAATTGGCTTTTGATGGCAGCAGAGAAGGAACATTATTATTATGATGGAGGAGGAAGATTATTATAGGGGAAAATTTGTATGCAGGAGAAGCTACTGAATAGAGATGCATTATGGTAATGTTGTGTTTTGTAATATAGTATTTTACAATTTTAGTCTGTAACAATTATAATAATAACTATATACAGTGGTACCTCAGTATACATATTTAATCCATTCCTGATCCTTGGTCATACACCAAACAGTACCTATACCAAACAAATTTTCCCATAAGAAATAAAATTTTGAATTAAGAATCGACATCACAGCACTCTGGACACTCCCATAAGTGCTCAGTCCTCATCTTTAGAGAATGATAATTCCGTTCCTGGGAAAATGAAATTCTATTGTTATTGGTATATTAAACATTGATGGGGTTGTATAAAATTATTTATATACAACATAATGCTAAAATACACAAATACAAAAGAAGTTGGATAAAATAAATGAAAATTAAGCCTCACTTTACTGAGAAGGGAGGAGGAGGAGATGTTATCGTTTGGAAGGAGAGTCCCCTTCCAGTTAAACAAATCTAAAATTCTGGTGGGCTTTTCACTTTCTTTTTGTTTTTTTCCCTGCTCTTTTTGCTGATGGACCTGAGGCTCATCAAGTTTGATCTTTGCTAAAAATGTGTTCTTCTTCTTCTCTTCTTCTTTGTGTTCGGGTTTCAATGCTCAGATCAGACCATCAGGTGGGTTGCCTCTATGAACTTGCATGTCAGGAGCAGCTCCTTCATTGTTCCCCATAGCTTGATCTGCACACTTTGCTTTTGAGGCCAGGTGTCTTTTGGAGGTTGTAGGTAAAGTTGGCAGGTCTGCAGAATTTGTTCAGGTTTTTGTGGTCCTGTTTGACAGGCACACTGTGGGGACTACAATCTTATATTTTATGCATGTGGTAGTTGAGCCTGCAGTGTTCTGTTCGTAGATGGAAAATTGTTGTATATTGCTGTCTGTTGAGTCTGCTGATGGGGTCTTGTGGATGTTTACTGTTAAAAATAAAATGGGTCCAAAACTCTTTCCTTCCAGCTTCTCCTCAGGATGTTTCAGAAATGTGACATTGTCTGGTCATTCCAGACAATGCTGTTACGGCTTGTTTGGGCTTTGATACTTCTCAGCAAAACCATTGACATTTATCTGTGGCTTTGTTTTGAGAGAGGTAAACAAATATAGTGCCAAGTGTCCTGTCTTATTTGGACTGACATGAGTTCTAGGACGTGCACATATTCCAAACAAAGGCTGTACACCAGGCAAAAGTTTTCATGTCTAAACAGGACATACACAAAGTTGAACGTATACCAAAGTGAGCGTATACCGAGGACTACTGTATATATGAATATGTGGTGCGTGTATGTGTGTGTGTGTGTGTGTGTATATATATATATATATATATATATATATATATATATATATATATATATATATATATATATATATTATATATATAATGTATTATTTTGTACTCACAACCACCTATTTACTGTATATCACACACAGTTTTTCTGTCTTAATTTCATTAATCTTTTGTGTGTGTGTGGGAGGGGGGGAATGGAGGAAGTCATTTATTATATGTTTGTTTCAGTATCATTATCTGCTTATACAAGTCATCATTTTGTTAGTCTTTCAGTTGTCTGATCACAGTTTTATTCAGTTTAATACAATTCTCATTTCAGGAATAACATCATTTGCTAGAAATGCTAAAGAGAACAGGTGAGAATAGGAGGTGGGTAATGGTACAAAAAGGTGACAAAAGTGTTAATTCTTTTAATCCCAAGCGATGTATAGTTTTTGGCTCTATTTTTATACGTTTAGTCTGAAAATCCTATAAGAATCTGGCTCTGTTGAGCTTGTAATTTTGTTATTATAGTTTGTTTTTTCCTCTCCCTATTTTGCATCCTCAACACTTATAATTTGGGACTAAAAAACTTAATGATAATAGGAAAATATAAACAACTGATTGTTTTTGTCAGTAAGCAATACAACAAGAAGAAGAGAATGCAAAAAACCACCCCCCAAAGAGAGGGTTCATGTGAATATCTATAACAGAATATAAAATATAGGAATAGGAAGAGTTATTTTGAAATGAAACATAAATAGAGGGATGAAAATAGTACAAATAATAATGGTGAAAGGTAAAAATATAAATAACAGTAATAATATTTAGATGAAGCCATACTTAACATCGATTCCAGCTGGCCTAGGACACCTAAACTGTGACTGATGCCCGGCTTGCTAGCATAGTTGGTTAAACCTGACTTCGCGACGGCCGGGTGATTAACTCCTTGTGGTCCAGGTTCACGCCCGGGGTAGGCAGAAAAACAACATTTCCACCAGATTTACGGTATTTATCATGAAATCAAGGCCGAAGGTTTGCCATATCCATAGTACCTAGCCAAAGGGTTAAAACTCGTGGTTTCTGGATATTTAAAAAAAACTGTGACTGATGCAATTTTTGTAAGAGAAGTATATGGTTTGATCACAGGCCCAAGATTTTATGGCAGTGTTAGAGCTAATGGTTGGCCTCTATGATCTGACCTGGATACTCACTGAAGAGATTTTTTGTATTTGTGTTCACGCCCGGGGTAGGCAAAAAAGCCACATTTCCCCAAGATTTACGGTATTTATCATGAAATCAAGGCCGAAGGGTTGCCATATCCATAGTGCCGAGCCAAAGGGTTAAGATTTGTGGTTTCTGGATATTTAAAAAACAAACAAAAAAACGGTGACTGATGCAATTTTTGTAAGAGAAGTGTATGATCACAGGCCCAAGATTTTATGCCGGTGTTAGAGCTAATGGTTGGCCTCTATGATCCGACCTGGATACTCACTTAAGAGATTTTGTGTGGTTTTGTTTGATTTATGTATGTGCTGTTGAAGGCTCTATAGTCACAACATTCACGTTTTGTTTGTGTTTGTTATATTGTAAAGCTTGCTGATCTACTTATTGGTTTAGATACCTCCTTATTAATATTCATAATATGTTCAGGAAACCAATCAGCTAGCTTCCTACCAGATAGTCCCCCTCTACCCCCACCCCATCCTCTTCCCCCCCCCCCACCCCCCGCCCAGCCATTTCCCAATTTTCATTCACATTCAAGAAGTCTTTTTAGGTATTGTTTAGAAAGCAACACTGGGTTTGGTTTAAAACGCCTTAATAAAAGTTGATATTTTATCCTTACTGATAATGTGCCACCTGTGTGTTACTAGCACCTCTATGGGAAGCAAAGAAAAAAGAATATTGTAATCTGCTGTGCGTGTTGTGAGAAAGAATGTTAGTGGAGTATGACTGTTACATTTCAGGTACTGTAATATCCAACATAGGGCTTGGCATGAGTTGGATGAGGGCCAGTGCTCCATTTGATTAGAAGAGGAAAGGCATAACAAAAAAAGAATTGGGCAACTGTAAGACAAACAGTGGGGAAAGTGCTGCAAGCGTATCATTTAATTATAATGTAGATGGAGTAAAATATAAAAGTCTTAATGACAGCAGTTGTCATCTTAGATGAAGTGACAGAGCAAGGCATGTTTAAGTAAAGAAAGATGCACCTCAGCTGAGAGATCTTGATTCTGCTTATTTGTTTGTTAGGTTATCGCAAGATGTTTTTGTGAAATTTTTAAAATTTTACCAATGTAATTTTGGCTTGCAAAAAATCTAACCCAGTGACAATGCGGTAGTTTCTGTAAAGAATAAATCTTAAATAAAACCCCAAAGTATTTCAAATTCCAAGATGCAGTGATGTTTATGATGTTCAGATCTTGTTAGTTAGTTGGTTGGTTGGTTGGTTGGCTAGTAAGTTAGTTAGTCTTTCCTCTTGAGCCTATGGTGGCACATAGGACAGAGGTCGTAGCTCTACGTCTGAGAGACCCAAGAGGGTTTCTCTTGGTCTGTGTCATTTTCTTTTCCCTTCTGGTGTCCATGTGAGGGCTTGATGGGGGAGTCTTGTCTTACAGTGTCTCTTTCAACTTCTAATTTTATGAAACTCTCTGAATGTTCCCGTGATGATCAAGTTCAGCAGCCCTAGGTTTCTCTTTATTGACTGCAAAATGGTCCATGACTCAGATTTATGTGTTTATTTAAGTGTTGCCATGGGAAAAGTTGCAATTTGTTTTCAGAATATTGATTTCAGTTGTTTTTTGTTTGTTTTGCTTGCTCTTATTGTGACATAGGCTTTGTGAAACCTCTATATGATATGGCCAATCTTCAGATTTCAATTGTGTAGTCTCCTATTGTTTGCTAATCTTGATTTTGGAGCCATTATTAAAATTTGTGACATTTTCACTTTTTTACACGGTTGACTAATATTAGGTTGCCAAACATTTTTTTTTAAATCTGTGGACATTAAAGTTTTAGTTTTGTTAAATTTCAATAACTTATTTGCCACTTTTTAAATTTGATTAAATGTTGATATGGTATTTAATATTTTTATTGCAGGTATATAGCAGAAACCTTCAATTTTCATCTGTGTCCCATGTCTTTTGGTTCACATGATCAGAGATTTTATATGCAGGTATGTACAGTTCTGTGGAAATGAAGTTTGTGTACAAATGTTTCCCTGGAAGCTTGATCACGTCTTGCTTTTCTAAATTATATGCTTTGACCATTTTCTGAGTTTGTTAAAGTTTTTTTTTTTTTAATGGTCAGACTTAGTTTTTAAAATAGTGCAGCTAGGAATATAATTTACACATGTCATAATTCATTACTTTATTAAATGGTTTTGAAAAGTATGACTTTAATAATTTCTTGTCTATTTTTTATTACCTGCAAGGAAAGGAAGATATTTTGAATTTTTATGTAATACTTGTATTAAGGCTGCTTTATCTTTTTTACTTCTGTTACTTATCTGTGTGTCATATCATCCTTCATTCTGTTCTGTCTCATTTTATTTTCACCTGCACTTACCAAGAACACATCAGAAGTTGAAAATGACCCCGTCCTGCATTTTTCAATGGGAAATAGGTCTGCAGAAAAATTATTTGAACAACAAGAAAGGCATATCAATTTTTAAACTGGCCCTCAGTGGCTGATTTGCCGACCACCTTTACTTCGTAGAACTTTACCTGGTACCCATTTAAGGCTGGGCTGACTTGGAAGCCGAAGTCATGTTTGAAAAAAAAAAAAATCAGGCTCCATGCGGATTTGAACCACCAACCTTCGTGTCCACAGGTGAGCACTTAACCACTACACCACAGGTGTGACAAGTACAGCCAGTTTAATGACATTTTCTATGTTAACACTTGTTGTATAGCTACTGATGTTATTCTTTCAGGCATCTTCAGTTCAGTTCCTGTGTAAACACAAGTTTGACTTTAACATGGTATGGTTGTTTAAAACATATTTGACTTATTGATTAATTATTGTACCTGTATGTTACTGAGGCAGTAAGGAAGGCAAAGAAAAGTAAAACTGTACCTTACCAGGTAAGATGTGCCTAAGGTGAGGTAAAAGTGAGGTAAAGGTAATCGCATTTCCAAATTCACAGCAAACAAAAGGTGGGGGGGGGAAGCTGGACTGCAACTGCACAAGAAGAGGTGATCTCTTGCCTGTGGGACAAAGTAACCAGTAAAATGGAAGATATTGAAAATCCGTACCTGGAGAGAATGATGCAATGGAGTGTCTTCTGCAGCCTTTGGGCGTGACTGGGGGGGGGGGGGGGGGGGGGGGTTGGGGGAGACAAGACGAGTAGTTAACCAGATGAGAATAGATAACATTAGTATGGAAACTCTTTGCTGGCTGTTAAGGAAGGAAACTTAACTCTTTCAGGACCACATTTTTTCTGGGGTTTGGACGGCATTAATTTTTAGCAGAATTTGTTTACTGCAACATGACAAAGCTAAAACCTTCCTAAAGAAAAGTATTGGCTATATAGGGACATATAATATTTAAAATTAAAGATAAATGAGTGCAGAATAAATATAAACTATTTAAGTTTGAATATTACAACAAAATATTATTAAAATCACACAACATTCAAGGATGTTAGACACATATGAAGATTATTTACATAAAAAATTTATTTTACTTGTTCAACAACAGTGTTATCCAATTCTAAGAATACACATGTCTTCTCTGTTCAATTATGTGTCAGCTTGTCCTTATTTGAAACAAATAATTTAAATACTTATGATGTTATAATCATTTTTGTATCACATGTTAGATTTCACAACAGCTGCAAATCGGGAAAAGAGCTGATCGAAACAGATGATCCAAATGAAATATTTTGTTCAATTTTCATATCCTAAACTAAATGATCGCCAACAGGTTTGTCACTTAAATATCAACCATAATATCAAGACCAATGTCACCATCTGGCAGAGATTCATCACCGACAGAGCAGTATTAACAGTTCTAGACCTTTTCCCTTATTATTTAGTATAGAAAAATCACAAATAAATAAATTTTAAAAAAATCATAAACTGACGCAAAAGCCATGCGGGACATCGCAAGCAAAAAGACATCCTGTTGTTAATCCTAATTTTTCACAAACTTGTCCATAAAAGTTTGTTTTCCCCACAAACGGAACAAAATTAGAGAATCTTTATGATATGCCAGTATAATGGCGACCATCCAATAGGAATAACTTCATAAGCCACTTAACTGGCGACTCGTCTTCAAAGAGTTAATGTTTGCTTGTCTTGAATGTTGTGATGTCCGATCTTTACCTAGATAAATCCATATCTGCCAGACAGCCACACAGAATGTCCATCACTGTCTGCACTGACTGCAGTCTCAGCAAATTCAGCACCATACGTGCACAATAAATGCATAAGGCAGCCATCAGAAGTGCCGACACAAACGTTCCAACACTAAAAGAGCAGTTTATTGTCACAGGTTGTTAGACTAAAGTGTAAGGGCATGAGACCGGCTGCCTCACACCTTAGAAAACTAGCTGCAAGATCTGACCAATCAGGAACAAGTCTGCAGAAGGCTTGGCCTGATTTATTTGAGGTCTGGACGCTACTAACAGTTGAAAAAAAAAAAAGTTTATTATTGCAGAATTTTCGAATATGTTGAATTTTATTTGGGATTTGGAAGTGGTGAACCACACCTGATGGTGCACCAGGGTAAATGCACATACTGATATCAAGACCGGTCTGCATCTTTCTGTGGTGTTTCCCCACGTAGCCTGGCCAGCTAAGCTAGAAGCAATATTTTCTTTAAAGTTAAAGGGCAGCAGCCTGTGAAGCAACAATCAAGTCCTAGAAAAAGACCTAATTCCAGAAGTGAACAATAAGAATTTTCTGACGGAGTTTACGGCCAGAGAATGCTAAGAAGAAGAAGTCAGTTTAGCTAAGAAAAGTATTCTGCAGCACTGAATTGTTGTAGTTTACAGCTAGGCTGTGATATCAGCATCTTTTTGACCCAACACATCTGATTTCATCAAATCCTGAATTAGTCACCTTTAACTGCATGCTTGTTAAGGAACAGTTTAAAAAAAAAATTGTAACTGATTCACAAAGCCTGTTGAGAAAGGTGAAAACAGGCATGCTTCGTGCAGAGTGGCAAGCATCACTTCAGATGTCCCAGGTAGTTATCATCCTTTGGATATTTTCTCCAGGTCATGCAGGTGTGTTGGGAAATGAGCAGTCGCAGAGACTGGATGGCTTTGCAGCATTTGGTGGTGAATTGATGTATGATAAGTAAGATGCTGTGAGGGTCCTTTGGGAGCGAGTGAGCAGTGCAGAGGCGCAGATAGATCATTACGGTCTAAGGAGAATGGCACTGCTAGGAGTTACCAGGGGATCTGGCCGGCGCTCAACACTCAGAGGAAGGCTGAGACAGATATACAATTACTGGTACCATCGGAATTGGAACTCTTCACTTGCTGCTGAAGATGGGGACTGAGTGCTTGTGGGGGTGTCACGAGGGCAGTGATTTCGATTCTTAATTCAACATTAAACAACATTCAGTGTGACTTTTCTTTATTTTCAATTTCTTCATGATTTAATTTAGCATTTTTCTTGTGATTTTAGGGTAAACATTTATAGCTTCTTCTATTTATCATATGCAGTGGCTTTATCAGGGGCTTCCATACCTCAATAAAGTGGAAGAGAAAGAACTGGAGGAGGAACTGGAGAATGGTCTTCTCTTCAGTGGCATTGAGAGGTTTGTTTGTCATATGTGTATTTTTAGTTTATTTAGGCAGATAATTCTTTAGGCACTGTTCTTTGGCCACATAATGAGAAGAGTCATTGGAGAACATTGTGACAATTGGAAAGATCAGTGGAAAAGGGGTAGAGGCAGACCAAAAAAGATGATGCTGGATAGGCTGAAACAATGGCACTGAGGGATATCATCAAGAGAGCTGTTCCAGGCAACCAGAGATCAAGTTCTGTGGAGACACATGTTGGCAGGGTACATGGTGATGATGATATGATTCATACATTTTTTTTTTTAAACTGTAACTGTCTGCTGTAGTGTTAATTTAATGTTGGGTCAGTACCGTTTAGATGAGAAACATGGAGAATGATGAAATCAGTTACTAATAAACTATTTAAAAAAACATTCATTAACTTGCATCAGCAAAACTTAGGACTAAACTGTTTTGACTGAATCAGTAGTGTGGAGTTTATGAAAAGAACTAAACAAATTCCAGTGAATCATAATGGGAGGAAAGACTCTGGCATGGACAAGACATTGGGAAAACCTTTTAGCAGTATAGTTAGTCCAATTTACCTTTGCTTCCATTTTGTTCTAGCCAGAATGATAGAAGGCAGTGTCCTGCTAAATAAAGGCAGCTGCTGTAATGTGAACCACATCAGCTGTCGAGTGCAGATTGGTCTATACAAATATTATTCCAGCATCATATGCCTGTTACACCACTGACGTATTAGAAGTGCAGATTGGTCTATACAAATATTATTCCAGCATCATATGCCTGTTACACCACTGACGTATTAGGGGTTATTTTACACTTTACTCTTGTTACTTACCCATTTCATGCAGCTGGGCTAACCTTGGAGCTACACCTATCAGGTGAAAAATCATGTTATTTCTTGGAATAAAAATCTGTACTATTGTCTTGATAAGCTCCCTGTGTGTGTTCCAGTGCCAGGGGAGGGGGGGGGGGATAGATCCACTACCCCCCCTCCCCCCAACAAGCAAGATGTAAAAGTTGACTTATTAGGAGTGTGTCATTCAAAGTCGGAGCGCATCTGCCTGAGAGGCGATGAACCAAAGTAAGGCAAATCTGTAAAATGGAAATGCACGCAAACTGAAGTTCTGGAATAAGACTAAGGTCCAGAAATGGATAAAAAACCAAAACTTAATGCTGGAGTTAACAGCGGGTGAATACGAAGAAGAAGAAGAAGTCATGGTAAGCAAATACACAAAACATTTTTTTTAATCATCAGACAAGTTAGGGAAACAAAAAATTGAAAGACATTGTAACTTAATTCTAGTCAGTATAGTATTTTGTTAGGAGTGGCTAGCCGAAATGAATCCACACACTGTACTCTCATTGATCCAGCTTTGAATCCTCAGTAAAGTTATGGTTTTTTTCTGTTCTTTTGGGAGCAAAAATAAAATCCTAAATTGCATAGTTTATGCTGACTACACTAGCCATGTGGCCCCAAATTCTCAGGCTAAAAGACCCCTCTGCCTACACCAGAAAAGTGGTAAATACAGGCTGTAGTGGCAGTTTTGGCAGCAAAGCAGTTTAAAGAAGTGTATTAGGTCTCTAAAGGCTCTCTACACTGCTCTCTACACAGGCGGATGAACAGGCCGGTTCTGCACCACCTGGTGGTGAATTGATGTGTGACAAGCTGGAGGTTGTGATGGCCCTTTGGGAAGGAGTGAACAGTGCGGAGGCACTGATAGATAATTATGGTCTGAGGAGAATGACACTGCGAGGAGCCACCAGGGGATCTGGCTGACGATCAACATTCAAGGGAAAGGCGAGATGGATATACAGTCTGACAGTTACTGGTACCATCAGAATTGGAACTCTTCGTTTGCTGCTAAAGATGTTTTTTTTTTCTTCTAAAAACTATAACTGTCTGCTGTAGTGTTAATTTGATGTCAGATCAGTACCATTTGGATGAGAAACATGGAAAATGATGAAATCAGTTACTAATAAACTATTTTAAAAAAACATTCATCAACTTGCACCAGCAAAACTTAGGACTAAATGGGTTTGACTGAATCAGTAGTGTGGAGTTTATAATTATAAAGAACTAAATAGATTCCAGTGAATCATAAGGTGAGGAAAGACTGGCACTGAACAAGACATTGAGAAAACCTTTTAATAGTATAATTAGACAGCCCTTTCCGCATCAGGTCAAAAATTTAAAAATAAACCTGAACAGGGGACAGAGTACTTATGGGAGTGTCCCAGGTGCTATGGTGTTGATTCTTAATTCAACATTCTACACTAATTATCTCAACATTTTGGTTTGCCTCAGGGAGCTGGATGAGAAGGAGTTGCAGAGTCTGTGTTCCAGGTACTATGGTGTTGATTCTTAGTTCAACATTCCACACTAATTATCTCAACATTTTGGTTTGCCTCAGGGAGCTGGATGAGAAGGAGTTGCAGAGTCTGTGTTCCAGGTACTATGGTGTTGATTCTTAGTTCAACATTCCACACTAATTATCTCAACATTTTGGTTTGCCTCAGGGAGCTGGATGAGAAGGAGTTGCAGAGTCTGTGTTCCAGGTACTATGGTGTTGATTCTTAGTTCAACATTCCACACTAATTATCTCAACATTTTGGTCTGCCTCAGGGAGCTGGATGAGAAGGAGTTGCAGAGTCTGTGTTCTGGAGTTGCTGCCTGGGTGTCTACAGCCTCTGTTGGAGATTGTTTGACACTGCACATAGATGAAAGTAAGGATCTTATAGCACTCCTTTCAGTAACAGGAGAATGTTTGTCATTGCATATCATCATTTAGCAGGTCCTTTACAGAAGGTTTCTTGCCATCACAGCACACCTAAAAGAAACTTGATCCCTTGCCAGCTCTCCTGCCTCATGCACTTTCTCATCCAAGATGTCTTTTATGTCATGTGCACACCTTTGTGCTGGTCTGCCCCTGCCTCTTCTACCCTTTACCATACCCTCCACTACGGTTCGCACCAGTCCACCATGAAATTTGAAACGGCAGTTGTTTTGTATTTTATAGCTAGTGTACGATATCTGCACCTTTTGGCCCAAAACATAGAATTTCAGACAATCCCTAATTATTCTCATTTCACAGCCTTCTTGTTAAAGGGCAGTGGTTCTGTTCTTGTTCCCCTCCGAAGTGGGGGCCCTTAGAACCCACATGGAGAGGCCCAGTGGATAGAAACACAGCACATTTTCACTGTCAGATGTGGACAAACACTTGTCAGGCTTTCTAAAGTTGGTTACATTTGATATTTGAGATAGCATATTGTTTAGAAATGACCTTCACTCCCACGTCGACCCAACTTTGAATGGGTACCAGGTGCAGCCCTCAGAAGTAAAGGTGGCTGGCGTGAGGCTGACCACATCCCTTACCAAGTGCCCTTTTATCTATAAGAATATAGGTCTAGCCCTCTATGCCCAAAGGGGTGGGAAAAGGCTATTTTACTTTTCTTTACTTATATTGTTTAGTACTTGTATAGTGTTTTAGCTTGGCTCTGTGGCCTAAAGGTGTGTGAATGTGTTTAACAATGTTATCATCCTTAAGTATTAGAGTGTGATTTCTATTGGGGGGTTTGAAAAAAAACCTGTTCTCGTCATTTTTGCAGAGGAGTACAAAAGTAACACTGTGGAATAGAGTTTAGCTGAGTTTAGTTAGGTCATGTTTTGACATCACAGAACCCAGGGCATTCCCAGTTGCGCTCTGTCCCCATCTTCAGCAGCGAGCGCAGAGTTCCAATACTGATGGTACTGGTCACAGTCTGGTTATATGTCCATCTTGGCTTTCTAAGTATGTAGTGAGCCGGCCAGACCCTCTGGTTACACCCATGTGCCTCATTCTCTCCAGGTCTTAATCATCTTCTTTCTCTACTGATTCTGTTGCTTGTTCCCAAAGG